CCCTGATCGGACAATCGAAGAAGTCGGGCGCCCCAACTCTCTTCAGGAGGGATAAGCGAGGTCTGTTCTTGAGCGGGCTCAGGACAGGACTGGATGCCGCTTGTTCTGCCGCTGCGGTTTATATACCTCCGCCGATAGGCTTCGGCGGGGGAAGGCGCGGAGAGGGGGCCGCCCGCGGGTATCACGCTCGAAGCGCGTGATTGTAGTGGAATTTGTGGCGCTAAGCGCCAGGGGCGGTTGGTCGGCCCCGAATCTAGTGACGAGGCGGGGCGCATCGTCACATCACCCCCCTCTTTTGTCTACGCGTCGGCCTGCGCGTCGGTTGGCCCCCTGTTGGCCTATTCCTCGGTCGGCCTGTCGGGCAGCTTCCGGGTAGAGCGTAGGCGGCCCTGATGGTCGAACCGCAATAGCCAGCGCCCCTCGGTGGTGTTGGCCCGATACTTCCGGTTCCGGAAGGCCGCTGTGTACGGCACCACTACCACTTCTGCTGACGGTAGGGAGACGATCACCGGCTCTAGGCGCGGGGCGACGGGTGTTGGTGCCGCCCTCGAGGGTGGTGGTTGGTGCGTCGCTCCCAGATCGGCCCTGGCTGGTGGCGGTCGGCACGTTGCTTCGGGCCTGGTGACTGCGCAGCAGGTGGTAGCTCCAGCCGTCGCGCGGGGTGCTGCCGGGGGTCGTGCCGGCGCTGGATGCCTTGGTGGCGCTGGTGCTGCCTGGCTTGGCGCACGTGGTGCGGTCGTGGTGGCGGTCGGTTCTGGCGGAAACAGCCGGCGGGCAAAAGACTTGCGTGGCGCCGGAGGCGTGGCGGCGGCGTTTGCTAGGGTAGTCCGGGGGTCGGCGTTCCCTGGCGGTGGCTCTCTCCGGTCGGTGCTGGCCGGTGCGCGTCGCCTTGTTACGGCGGGTGGTGGCCGTTGTTGCCGGGCCCGCGGCTTCCTGGGTGGCGGTGGAGTTGCCAAGAATTGGGCACGGCGCCGTGTCTCCGCGTCGCCCCGTTGTATACTGGTGCCCACGCGGGGCACCGGGCGGCGGTTGCTGCTGCCAGGCCTGGTGATCGGTCCTGGTTCCTTCGCGCGGCCGTCGTCATCGCTTTCCAAGTCGGAAAGTAGATCGCCGAAAAGTCGGTTGAGCATGTCTCGCTCCTCGTGCGTGCTCATAGTGGCTTCTCGAAGCGTACTTGTCGGTCGTTGACCGCGCGGCTCTATTTATATCCGCCTTTTCTCGGCGGCTCGGCGCGTCGCCGCCGTTGTTTACGCATGCCGATCTGCTTACGTCACGTACGCTGGGTGCGGGTAGGGCGGTCAGGGGTCCGCCGTGCTCGTCGCCGTGTGTCTGCGCGTGCGTCGCCTGGGGGTGGCTCTCCGTTCGCCCGGGGATTCCCGTTTCGTCCGGGGGGTGCGCATCGGTATCGTCCTCTTCTCCTTTTTTTTATTTATGAAGGTGGTAAAAATCTTCAAAAGACCCCCTGCGCCTGATACAGGGGAGTGCAGGATTCAACCGGTCGTGACTTGACGGTCTCAGTCAGCCCTTGGGCCGGCTGAAGTTGCTGGCCTTACCGATCGCTTACCTGCTAAAAATCCACCTAAAATACCCTGCGAGATCTAAAAGAGGAGCCTCGGGACCACCGGAGAGTATTTCATCAGAGCTCCTCTCGCGAACGTGGGACTTAACCCACCCCTCAGGCTCACAGGACTAAAAGCCCCGTGAGTTTTCAGGCTTCCGCCAAGAATTGAGAAAGACTAGCTAGATAAGAGAAGGAAACATCGAGTTGCCGATGCAACTGATGTGGTTTGTTAGCCTGTTATGGCTGTATGTCACTCATCCTCCTCCTCCGAATACGCCACCCAAACTCCGCACCGTGTGCCTCCGCCTGTCTCTCCCATTCCGCCTCCTCCTTGCGCAGCATAACGTGCTCACAGAACTTACCAAACGCAATCCAATTTTCACGCGATTTTAGAATAGCCGCCACGACCGCGCCCAGCGACATGTCCCCGCCGATGGCGCTTACGAGTACTTGCCTTTCTCTTTCCCATGCCTGACAGCCGCCCAAGGTGTGTAGGTTACTGTCACATGGGGCCTCGCAAAACGAGCAATCCTTGCTACGTGCTTTGCCGATTCTGTGCAAAAAGTCGTTGAAACAACCATGCCCCGTAATCATCTGGGTCATCCGGTATGTGAGATGACCGTGTTGCCTCTTAAACCACTGCGTTAGGACCGGTACTATGGCCTTTCTGACCTCTATCGCCGTGTCGCCTGGTCGCGCGTATTCTGCTTTCCACTTCGCTAGTGCCGCTTCCAGTGCTCGCTCCCTTATAGCCTCGTGCATACGCGGAGTTATCCGGATTTCTTCGGCCTGGATCGCTCGTGTATCCATATAAACCTCTCTGTACCACTCCGCCAAGTACTCCACTGGGGTGACCCTTGCCAGAAGGAACGCCGCCGGGTACGATACGGTCCTGTAGGCCGCTTACCACTCGGAGAGCCACTCTTCTTTGGACCGCTTTGATCATGCTTGCAAGCTTCTTATCCGTTCTCACAGCAGGGGCCCACACGGGGGCTCCGTAGAGTATCACCGAGTGGATCACCCCGCTGTAGAGCCTTCTCACAGGCTCGCTCGGTCCCCTTAAGTTCGGCATAGTTCTCGTCAGAGCCAGCGACATTTTCTCCGCCTTGGGCAGCAGGCGGCGAAAGTGCTCTCGGAATGCCCACTTTCTGCTTAACGTCAAGCCGAGGTACTTGAGTTCGGTCTTAACCGGGATCAATTGACCCTTGATCCATATCGTTTCCTCGCTAACGAACCGGCGCGCTCGGGAGAAGGCGCATGCCTCCGTCTTTAGCGGCGAGATGTTCAGTCCCATTTTCTCTATTCGCCTAATTACTAGCGAGGTAGCGAGTTCAGCCAAGGCGATAGCTTCTCTAAGGCTGTCCCCTCTGGCCACTATGAGGGTATCATCCGCGTAACATAGGATACTGCAATCCTCCGGGAGGTTAGTTTGGAGAACTTCGTCGTAGGTGAGATTTCAACCTTCGGGTCCGAAGGCCGAGCCCTGGGGAACCCCACACGTCATTCTCACTCTCCTGGTCCTGCCCTTCCAATCCTCGAAGGTAATCCACCTGTCCCTCAGGTAATCGTCCACAATGGCCCTGAGATAGTTGGGCAATTCTTTTTTAATTGTGGCTTCTCTGATCCGTTCCCAGATAAGGGAATTGAAAGCGTTTGAGATATCGAGCGATATCGCAACCGCCATTCGTCCCTCCTCATAGACCGGGTCCAGAAAGCCCCTCAATCGCAGGATCGCATCCACTGTTGAGTGTCCGGCCCTGAAACCGAACTGCCTCTCTGACAGGCCAACGCCTTCGGCCAAACATCTCCTGATTCTGCCCACTAAGACTCGCTCGAAGAGTTTGCCCATTTCGTCCAGCAGGCAGATGGGCCTGTATGAGGACGGCACTAAGTCTGGTTTGTCCGGCTTTTTGAGGAGTGTTAGTTTTGTTTCCTTCCAGCACTTTGGGAACACTCCCTTTTTGAGGCAGGCGGTGAAGCATGCGGCCACGTCATCAGCGCATACTGGTATTGCCGCTTTTATAGCCTCTCCCACGATCCCATCCGGGCCCGGGGCTTTATTCGGTCTCACTTTCGCCGTGGCCCTTTCGACCTCCTCGCTGGTGACCGCGTAATCTTCCTCCCACAGTATGGTTGGTCTTGGTTTCTCCAGAAGCTCTTCCTCTTTGTGGGGGAACAGGCCCGTTATTATTTTCAAAATCTTATCAAGTGGGAGCGTTTCACAGATAGGCCTGGCGGCCGGTCTCAGCCTGTCCAATACAATTTTGTAGGGGCGGCCCCAAGGGTCCCCGTTGATTGTGGACAGAAGTTCATTCCACGCCACATTCTTCGCCGACTTAATGGCGGTTCTCAGGGCTTTACGCGCTTGGGATAGCTCAACCTCCAACTCCAAGGCTGTGCCTCTGTTTCTCCTATGGGCTCTGGTAACCTGCCTCCTGAGAGAAACGCACTTCCTTCTGAGGTCCGCTATGTCGCTGTTCCACCAATAGACAGCTTTTTTCCGGCCAGGTCTTTGGCGCCTCATTGCCAAATTCGATGCCTCCGTCAGCATAGTCTGCAGTTGCTTTGCTTGATTCTCGGCGCTAAGGTTATTGCTGTTATTATTACCTTGTTTGGGCCAGAGATGTGTGGCGATTCCAGCCTGGAGCAGGTCTGAGTCCAGGCTCTTTCGATTCCATTTTAGGGGTCTTGTTCGCCCGTCATCTTTGTTTGGCCGCTGTTGTTCTCCCTTCAGACATAGGTACACATATCTGTGATCGGATAGGGTCTCTTCCTCGATGGCCACTTCCCAAGATTCGATCATCCGGAGGGCTGCTGGGGAGGCCCAGGACAGGTCTACTACCGACCTGCCCTGCGGTCTGACGCACGTTGGCACCTTGTTCTCATTCAACAGCCGAAGATCCAGCGTTGAGGCCCATGTCGCAATCGTGTTCCCTCTCACAATCGTGCGGGTATCCCAGATGTTGGAGCGGGCATTGAAGTCCCCCAGTATCAGGAGCGGGTGATTCAGGTATTTGCTCACCGCGTCCCCCACTTCCGCAGATATGCTTTGAACTGGTTAACGCTTTTATTAGGGAAATAACAGGACACCACGATGAGCTTCCCCCAGGAAGTCATCACATATCCATCGCCCATCTTTAGAGTTGAAATGGTGTCCGTTGCTCCATCCTCCGACCACAGTACGGCCGCCATGGGAGTCTGTTCCCTGGATCGGGCCCATCTTGGGTGATTTGGTACCCGATGTGGCTCCGATATACAAGCCATTCCGTACCCTCGTTCCCGCATGTTCTGCACCAACAGATCCTACGCTCCGCTGGATCTGTTGAGGTTGGCCTGGATGATCTTCTTGCCAGCCATTTACTTAGCTGTCCGTTCCTCGGCCGCGTTACTCCGATTGGCCAGGGTCTCACTTCGCCTCGGGCTATTACGGAGGTCTTTCCTCGGCGGGCACGGTAGGCAGACCTCTGAGCCTGCCCTGTGATTGTGATTCAGGCCCTTGTCCTTGCAAATCGGACAACACGAGGGTTTTCCGCACTCCCTCATAGTGTATCCCGCTTCACCGCAGTTAAAACATCTATCTGTTCTGTCTACGTTACTCGGGCATCTATCCCTTACGTGGCCCGTGGCGAAACACCTGAAACACTGCATGGGTCTTCTTTTCAGGAGCACCACAAGGGCAGTGGACCAGCCGACCCTAAGCCTTCCAGCCTCCGCCAGTTTATTCGCGGTATCTAAGGGGCACTGGAGCCAGACCGTTTTCAGGCCATTCCTCGCTAGTCGGAAGGAGCCCAAACGGACACTCGCCTCATCGCAGTTGCCCTCTTTGGCCAGCGTCTCGATCAATTTTTCCGTAGTTACCGAAGCGTCCAGTCCCGCCAGTCTTAACTCTCCCCTCAGGGTGGGCCTTCTGATCTGGACGTTCGTGTCCCTGAACGCCTCGCGTAACTTTCTTGCCAGGTTATCTGCGGCCGGTGATGTATTTTCACCTGGGATCTCTATCAGGACATTTCCAGCCACTGTGCTCCGCGTCCTGGTTTCTTCGATGCCGAGTTCCTCGAGTGTTATCTCATCCCGGGCTTTTCGGATTATCTCGAAATAAGTCATTCCATCCTCCGGGCGAGAGATCGTGATGGCTGATGAACGGGGGGCCCCCCTACGCGGTGCTCCAGCAGCCCTTCTATTCATCTGTGTTCGGGCGGCCTCCTCGTATTCTCTCTCCCCTCGTTGATTTGGCCGTACGCCTTCACGAACAAGTCGTGGCCGTGCATCCTCCCTTTCTGCCACCGGCAGAGGAGGGAAGTCTTCTATGTATCTAGGCCTGTTTACCTCCTCTGCCACGCCTCTGATTAAGTCTTCCGCCCTTCCAGCCCGAGTCCTCCGTTCTCTCCTTTTTTGGCTTCTTGTTAACCTTTTCTGCAGCGGGGGCCTATTATCGTCCGTCTCCGCCGCTTGGGAGTCTGCATTGGCCACAGATGAGCCTCCACCTTCTTCGTCGGGAGGATCCCTCGGTCTCACGTGTTTCCTCTCACCGTCGACTCTGCGCCCGGGGAGCTGTGTCCACAACGCATTTGCTACTGCCCCACTTATAATTGTGCCCAGTCTGTCCAGGAATTCTTCTTCGAGTATCCCTGTCTGTTTAACTGGGGAGGGTTTCGTTGCTCCTCCACTCCGCGTTGCTCTGGCTTTTCTCTCAGGCTGCGGACGCGCTGAGGCTTCTCGGCTCCTACTTATCTCTAGTCCCAGCGGGGGGTCCGGCGAGACCTCCATTCGCGCCGTGGGTGATCCACGCCCGAGATCACGATTTCCCGTCGGGCTGGCCCTTATGTTAAGTCCGCTTTGGATTTCCTCCATTTGTAGCTTTAGGCGCTGATTCTCTTCTCTGAGCCCATTAATCTCGCTTTGCATGTCGGCGAATCTGGCTCTCAGGAAGCCAACGTCCCCCTCCTGTGAGGCCCTCATAGATAAGATTTTTGTTATTTCAGCCACGGCAGCCACGTTTAGCTTCATCTTCCGAGTTATCGAGCCCTTGATGTTATTCGACATCCTGCGGCATTCCTCCGTATCTTCGAGCAACTCCATGGCTCTAGCCGCCATATCGGAGGATGAGAGCCGCTCCATATCTTGTAGCCTTTGGTCCAATTCTTTCCTCTGGGTGTCTGACAAGTTTGTCCTAGGTGATTCCTCCTCTGTTTCGGGCGACGTCAGGACTTTTTTCCTCTTCTGTCCCACCCTCTGGGGAGGTCTTATTTTCCCGGAGGAAGAAGAAGTAGACCCCCTCCTAGCGCCTGTACCTATTTCCATTGAGACGATCTCTAGGTTCCCGTCTAACAGTGTCCTTGGTCTCGCTGACTCAACCGCTTGGAAGGCGGATACAAATTCCACCTCCGTGTTTCGTGCATTTATGCTCCTCGTCATAGTCCTGCTAGGTTTGGCCGCCGGGGTCTCAGATAATGCCTCTTCATATTGCTCGGGTGTTGAGGGCGAGGATAACTCACTCGCCTTACCCGGTCGCGATCTGAGGGCAGATACATCCATCTGCAGTTTCTCTATGCTGACGATAGCTGGTTTGAGCGAGGGCCTCGTCCTAGCCCCCGCCCCACTCCCAACGCTCGATGTCGACACGGGGGGAGAGGGACAAGACTCCCCCGCGCGCCGTTCTCCAGGGCTCCGAATCTCTGGAGGGGTTGTTTCTTTAGTTGTCGACCTTTTCATAATTGTTTGTCTGTTTTTTATACACCTGTTGTATACACGCCTCCGCTGGGCCACCCTCCTACAGAAAGAAGCGTCGTACGTCCCTTAGGAACGTAGCACTGCAGGGAGGAGAGCACCAGTCACCAATAAACTTGGTGTCACTCCGCATTAATACAGGACGAAGAAGCTGGAGGAGGAGCAACGCTCTACTCTACTCGACAGAGTCTCGTCTGCCTTATAAGGCCACTGTGCTTAACACGCATGAGTCCTCGTAGTACTTAAATAACTAGCTTAACTTAGCAAAAACATATTTACAAAACGCTAATGGTGAATAACGCTAGCAACCAATAATAATAAAACGAAAGAAAAAAAAAACTATTTGCTAAAGCTAACCCTAACAATGACAATAACGCTAGCAATTTACGTTAATTAATTAACTCTAACTCGTAACAATCAACGACAACCGTGTCAACGCGATTTATCTTAAAAACTAAAATACTAAAATACTTTACACCCGTAGGTCGCCAGGATAGTTTCCCAAACTGTATTCACACGCGACACATCAACATATGCAGGCGAGTCGGGCAATCTCTGACCACCGTTCGAGCCGCGTTTCCTCTATGGCTCGACGGAAGCAAATCTCAACCAGTCGCTCAGCTCTTATGACGTCTATACACGCGTACGTATCTAACTATCACATAGAAGTCCGGCTTATTGTTACCATTCTTCCGCCCGAGTTCGTACTTAAAGGCAACTGTTCCGCGTAGAAATTAGTATTTCGAGTATATATATTTGTCTATCACTTGCAAATGTGCCCTAATAACCATCGGAGAAAATTTCTTTAGTCGTACAATATGATCTCACCGCATTACACAAGTCTCAGAATAATTATACTATTTTATTTGAGTTCGATGCCAATCTAATCTAAAATAATTCTCGCTTTCCATTGCTTCTGCCCATGCACTGTAATCCGCCCATTCCAATGATCGAACCCATGGTTGACAGTCTAAGGTTTAATAGATAACTCTCGACTCATCTCTCGGCTCGCATACAAAGTCTTAACACGCGTGTACATAGAAATCCGGCCTTATTGCTACCATCCTTTCTATCAAATTCGCTTAATAATAACTATCCCAGCGGAAGGCCACGGGTGCTCCAACAAGAATAAACCCGGCATGCCCTGTACACAATTATAATATTCCAGTATATAATATCCCAATATAATATCTCTTCTGTGGGTTGCAAATGCGCCCAAATATCCGCCAAAGGAAGTTATTTCGATCCCGTAATGAACCTCTGCCACGTTTCAGGCACGTTGTGCGAATCTTAATATAAATTATACTTTTCTATGTGAATTCGGCTTTAATCTATTGCCCGCCTTCTATATATGTATCTAGTCAATGGCCGGCCACGCCGTGAATCGGTTTCCGTAAAGCGACAGTGGGGCGTACATCATCTCTGTGTATACTTTATGATCCGCTTACTTGGAAGACCAACCCCACAGTTGGTATCCCTCTCTGTATACTCACGATTTATGACTCAACGTATTCAGCTGAGATACGACAATGATACATTCATGTATATGCATAACCCTTTAAATCGATTATTTTCAGTGATGTTTTTATGCACAAGGTATCTCAGGCATTCCAATTAAAGGTTCTAACCTTGATCGGTGTCCGGAACTCCCTCGTAGCTGCGGCCAGGCGAGCCGGGCTCTTACCTTATCTCGCCCTCCGCAGGTTCCGCCGATGCTTATCGTCTAAGATATATGACATTAATAACATTGATATAGGCAACAGAAAAAGACAGGAACAACGCGCGAGTACGCATCGGCCGCTTTTATGGGCTCTTGTGCGTGCACGCTGTCAATAATTTACAGCAGAAATCAGCAGCAGCCGCGCGCTCTCCGCAGTATAGGCTCCGCACACGGGCAACCTAATCCCATTTGTCAGGGGAGGTATTCTGCTCACGTCCAGTGTGTGCCCTGTCACTTCGCCAAGGGCGCCCGTAGACGGGTCGTCTCCGCAACACAACGCCTTGTTCACAGCTGCCTGTGTAAAAAACGAGCAAAAAATCGCTCCTTCGTGTGCGGATCTTTGTCCCGCAATCAAATTCGTCCGTGAATAATGTACTGGCGTCGCAAGAAATCTCGTGAGCTATTATGTTTACTCGCTCAAATATAAGGAGAAACGCGTGTCCATCACGTCGGTATTCCTCGCGAACGCATCCGCATATATATTCCAAAAGATTATAGTCCGTCTTTTACGTATATTGCATATAACCGCGCAATCGAGCTCTCTTAGTATACGCTCGTGGATACACGGAAAATCTATCTTTATCACAGTTTATTCGATATCTTAACACAGCCGCTCAACGTTTAAGATTCAGTCGTTCGCGTTTATACACACGTAACAAAAAACAGAGACAAAACCGTTCACTGTTTATCCCGACACGCGGGGGCTCACACAGCGTGCGTATTGCCCCTGTGCACAACGTCACGAACAGGTCCTACCTGACCTCGCTGTTCTCAACTGCCAGGATTCCGCCTATTTTCCTCTCCCTATCCAGAAACTGCAGGGGGGGCCGTCAAGAGACGAGGCCAAACGCCGGCCGGTGACAGTCTCTGACACCGGGACGGAGCCCCGCACAGCAGCAAACCATCTCCGACAGGCGGAGGAGGATCCGGACACGGGTCCGCCGACCGCACCCGGGTACCACAGGGAGGGGTGTTGGTCCTCACTAGTCACTGCCGGTGCACGTTAAAGCATGCATATAAGCAATCAGCCATGCAAAACGTAGCGGACACAGCCATAGCCGCCATTACATGCACATAGACATCCGCACATGCACAGCGCCGCCCCGCGTTCTCTTTCGTGCAACGCGGACGTGCAGCGCCCATGCACACCTCCACGCACGCAGTGCAGTAGACACCCCACACTGACCACTGTCCAGCATGCAACGGGCACGCCCGGGTGGTCGATCACCAAGCACGTGGCGCGCTTGCCACAGAGTATAGGAACTCAAGATAGCGCACGCCACTAAGGGCTCACATACATGAACCCACGCGAGGCAGAGTGTACAAAAGTACACACCCCGGCACAAGACACTGCCGCGATACGTTTCAACTCTATTTTAGAGTAATAACCGCTAGTTCCGGACCGCGCAGGTATCTCGCACCAACAATAACGTTTCCGCACCACACTCACTAACGGCAGTATATACCAAAAAGGTTCCTATACGCTGTCGGTGTCTTCCCGCGTTTTTCCGAGCACGTGTCACTTATGTAACACACCGCCCGAACCGCGCGTATGTTTCGCTCTATTCCGGAGCGATTTCCGAATATCGCGGGCCGAAAAGATTACTCGTCACTAAAATATAGTAACGCGCACTATATACCCAGGGCCTAAAGAGGTCCCCGAAAGGGATGCTTTCATCCGCGTTACCGCAATATGCCCGGCGTAAGATGACAGCCATCTTAGGCCGGCGCATGCAGCCACGTTTACCGGCATTAGAAATTCGTAAATTTCTCAACTACTAACAATCTCACCACCGCGAATCTCCGCGAATCGATGCAGAATTGCACGCCGCACACGATAAATACACATACGACACGTGAAACGCGTTTTATCCGCACGGGCGCGTGTGGAGAAGGCGGAGCGCTACGGAGACACGTCCACACGACTCGACACACACGAGACGACCCCGTCGTCCTCTTCTCCTGGCGCGTTTTTTAAATCTTGGACGTGGATGTGGCGTTGCCAACGTCCCTGCGCGTTGCGCAGGTCGACGATCACGGGGGACACAATCCGGCGTACTTCCCATGGCCCACCGTACCGCGGCGCCAGTTTTGCATTAAAGCCTACCGCCTTCCGGGAGAGGGGGTATTCACGTTTCCACACCGTGTCCCCCACTTTTGGCCTCCAGTCGCGCCGTCGGAGGTTGTAATGAGCCTCCTGTTTTTGGAACGCCCGCGCCATTCCAATCCTTACTACCTCAAATGCCCCTTCAAGGCGGCGCTGGACGGCATGCGGTGTTTGGCTGCCTCTTGGTCGGCGATCCTCCGGATGTGGCAGGGCGAGCTCCCGGCCATGGTCGAGGTACGCGGGTGTGTAGCCGGTTGTTTCTTGGCGCGCCGTATTATATGCATACTGTAACTGGGGTAGGTAGTCGTCCCACCTCCGGTGATTCCTCCTCACGTATGTTCCAATCATGGTCTTTAGCGTTCGGTTGGTTCGTTCGACCGGATTGCAGTGGGGGGCTCGGACGGGGGTGGTTCGGTGTTCGATGCCAAATGCCTGGAGGAGCTCGGCCAGTTGGGCTGACTTAAGCTGGGTGCCATTATCCGATATGATCCGGTCTGGGCAGCCGTGTCGGTAGATGACGTCCTCGCTGATGGCCTGGGTGACGGCTGGGCCGGTGGCTCGACGTAATGGCCTTAATTCCACCCACTTGGTGAAGCGGTCTTGCATCACCAATAGCCCTACGTGCCCTTGCGTTGATCGTGGCAGAGGCCCTATCAGGTCTAGTGTGACCTGGTGCCAAGGTGCAGTGACTGGCGCGGTGTGTAGGTTTCCGGCCGTTTCATAGTGGGCGCTTTGTGGGCCAAGCAGGTATGACAGTGTCGGACGTATCGGGTGATATCTTGGAACATCCCCGGCAAAAAATATAGTCGAGCCATGCGGGCGATGGTCTTGGCGACCCCGAGGTGCCCGGCCGTAGGCTCGTCGTGGTGGCGTTGGAGGAGTTCCCGGCGCTCCCCCCGGGGCACGCAGCGCTTCCATTGATCGTCTGGGTCGACCTCTCGGAAGTCCACGTCGTGCAGGACGTGACGGTATAGCTTGCCTTTGTCCACTCGATAGTCCGGGTAGTCGGTGGGCCGTTTCTGTAGTCCGGAGAGTAGGCGACGGTACCACCCGCATCGGGAGGTGGTCTGGGTGCTGCAGGCCTCGGGTTGTCGGGACAAGGCGTCCGCGACCTGGTTGGCACTTCCCTTCCGGTACCGTATGTCAAAGTCGTACTGT